AATCCAGAGCACCTTTTGGGAATGAGCATCAGTGAGAGATCATGTTGCTATGGGGGTGGGGGTGGCTTTCCTTCTGGTCGAGGTTCGTTTTCTGTCACCTCCATTGTTCTCAGTGCAATTGCTTAATGCATTTCCTGTGGGTATTACAAGCTGAGATGGGGTGGGGGAGGCATGAAGAAGGCGCACAGGGGGAGGGGCCCAGGACAATGCTATCTCTCGCTACTCTGTGTTTAATAAGTGCTGTATTGAACTGGAAGAGAGAAGGGGACTGGAGTATACTGGAAACACCTCGCTGTCCCCTAAATGGTGGACTCTTCAGACAACCAGATAGGTAGCAGTATCTGGTCCCCACTGTGGCAACAGCGTGCTTGGAAGTCAGCTTCCCTGGGCTCCTTGGCTCGTCTTCTGTCCTTAAGTTCTGTGGTTCTTCATAATCTTTGGGTCCATTGGCTTTGCTTTCAATAACATCCATGACCCCGAGTCATCCATCTTAAAAATGAAGGACCCCTGTGGGCATGAGTAGTTCTACATTAAACTGTCAATACTATCAAAGGGCCACCATGCTGGCAGAGATGTCTCCACTCTAAAGAGACAATTGTGACCCCTCTTTGGCTATGAGGCTATTGAAAAAATGGACCCCAAGAAATTAGAAATCCCCTAGGAATTTCCAGCGTGGGCAAAAAGAAATAGCCAAAACCCCAGGGACACCCAGAGGAGGGCCTTAACTCTTGTGAAGAATTTTGCAAGATCTTAGATGACTTTGTGAGACAGTAATGGGCAGAGGCCACACCTTGGCTGGACTGTTTAGTTATGCACATCTCTTGATTTTTATATAACCTATGTCTGAAGTTGGACTTAAGGGTGCTGGCCATTGCATCTCTTTGTTCCTCTTTCCATTGTGGCCACTTTGAATAAATCTCCAATTTTCTTTTCTTCATTATTTGACTATTTTAATTAACTTATTGAGGATAGGTGGCTGTAGATGAATTTCTAAACAGTCTTATTAAATAAGAAACACAGAGCCAAATACAGGAGTAATAGCTGAAGAGATCAGAGAAATAGCAAAGAACCACTGACTAGTCTTAACTTACCACCTCGCCACCGTTGCTTCCCCAGAAAGAGCTTCTTCCTGTCTAACCTGCGCTTTTATTGCCTTCCTGTTCTGCCTTCTCATTGGCTCTAAGCCCAGCCACATGACCTCCTCATCACTGCCTGTCTATACAGACCTCAGGTCTCTATGGTTGGTACTGGGATTAAAGGCTCATGTCACCATGCTTGACTGTGTCCTTGACCACACAGAGACTCTGCCTGCCCTGTGATTGGATTAAGGGCTTGGGCTACCACTACTTGGCTTCTGTTTATGGCTATGTGACCTCTGAACTCCAGGCAAACTTTATTTATTAATGTACAAATAAAATGTCACCACAGGTGGCCAAACCTAGGTAGTTGGGGCACGGGTTGTAACCCTAATCTGGTAACAGTAACAGGACTCCTGAGTCTAGACCTGGGCAGCCATACTCAGTAATGCAGAGCAAGCGGCATATACCATCTCTCTGAAGGGGCTGAATGGCACCCCTGCTAAATAAGCAAGGATGACTCAAACAAGGACTAACTGGATACTTTTTATGCTCCTCGGGAGGTGGGGGCAGCCTCCTCTCTTTCAATACCCTGAATTATCATTCTGTTTGTTTTTTGTTTGTTTGTTTGTTTGTTTGTTTTTGTTTTTCGAGACAGGGTTTCTCTGTGTAGCTTTGGAGCCTGTCCTGGAACTCACTCTGTAGCCCAGGCTGGCCTCGAACTTACAGAGATCTGCCTGGCTCTGCCTCCCAAGTGCTGGGATGAAAGGTGTGCGGCACCACTGCTCGGTGAGAGATGGCTCAGCCATTAAAGGCTAGGCTCACAACCAAAAATATAAGAATTCTCATTCTGATTTGAGTTTGGAGTTGTGTTTACTCCAGACTCACATGGTTTCTCTTAATTATTGTTGTGTGCTCCATCCCCTGAAGCCGAATATCTGATCCCTATGTGCTGTGAAGTAAGCAAAGAGACCACATCACCCGATCAGTACAAAAACTTAATTCTGTTTTGTTGTTGTCCAGTGAATATGAAATCATGTATATTTTTCCTTTGAAATGTACAATTTATGCTTAGGGAAAGGAACTGGACACTGTTTTAATCGCTCGAATACTTACTGTCTACTTACCAGAAATTAACATTTAGGCATGGTACTTCTGAATTTCTTTCTTCCCAAAGAGAGTTTTATGCATAATCCCATTTCTATTGTGAGAACGAGGACTGAGCTGGCCAGCCTTGTGCTTGGTGTTTCGAGTGTGGTGATGGGGCTGGGAGGATGGCTCAGTGGTAAAGTGTTGGCTCTGCAAGCTTGAGACCTTCTATTTGGATACCCAGAACCACATTAAAACACCACCACCACCTAGGGATGGTGGTGCCTGCCTGGAACCCTAGCAGTTGAAGGAAGGAAACAGATGGATCCTTGGGGCTTTCTGATCAGCCAGTTTAGCGAAGCAGTGAGCTCTACTGTCAGTGAGAGAACCTGTCTCAAAAGATAAAGTAGAGGGCTGGAGCAATAGCTCAGTGGTTAAGAGCACTGACGAGTTTTCCAGAGGACCTGAGTTCGATCCCTCGCCCTCACACAGACGCTCACAACCCTATGTAACTCTAGTCCTAGGGGGATCAGATGTGCTCTTCCAGCCTCCAAGGGCAGGGCATGCACGTGGTGCACAGACACACACGCACAACACACATAATAATAATAAAATAATAAATAATAAAAAGATAGATCTGGGTGCGGCAGCACACTGGAAGGCAGAGGCAGTTGGATCTTTGTGAGTTTGAAGCTAGCATGGTCTACAAAGCAAATTCCAAGGCTACATAGTGAGATGTCATCTAGATTAAAAAAAAAAGAGTAAATAAAAATAATGTAGAAACAAGACTAGGGAAGACATCCCACATTGACCTTTGGCCTCCACATACATGTACATACTCTTACACACATGCGTGCGCACATGATCATGTCCACATGTACACCACACACACAAAGTTTAAGACTCTAGGGCTAATGAAATGGGTAAGGACAGTTGCTACCAAGTTTTATGACCTAAGTTTGAGCCCTGGGAAAGAGAGAACTAGCTTTCACAGATTTTCCTTTGATCTCCATATGTGCGTGTGTGTGTGTGTGTGTGTGTGTGTGTGTGTGTGTGTGTGTGTGAAAGAGAGAGAGAGACAGAGAGAGATACAGAGACAGAGAGAGAAGATTCCCTGTAAGTGGAAGCGGAGTTAGAGATGGCTGACTGAAAGCTGCTGTGTGCGTGCTGGACACTAGACCTGGATCCTCTGGAGCAGCAGCCAGTGCTCTTAATCTTTAAGCCATCTTTCTAGCCCTAAAATAAGAACAACAACAAAATAACATTGGTGTTTTGAGACGGGTCTCAAAAACTGCAAGTTCAGTAGGTTAATTTCTCCAACCACAAAGTATTTTGGGAAGTGTTTGGGAATCTTCCGGTCCACAGCATAACACATCCATCCATCTTTCCCCGCTGTCATCATGTCTTCAAATCCATCACATCCCTTTCGTTTACGTCCTTCGGTGTCCCTGGGTTCAATGTCACTTTTCCCATCTGGACTGGGTGAGCATTCCCTGGCCTGTTCTCTAGGAAGACAGATATGTGAATAGTTAACTCAACCTCATGGTACTTCTGAATTTCATTCTTCCTAAAGATGTGTGAATAGTTAACTCAACCTCATTAATCAGTTGCTGCTTCAGCCTGAGAGCTTCAAAGCTGAGTTATTTGCCTCTGGGTCAGATCGTAAAGTTGGTTTATAGGTGGAGTATGCATGCATGTACGCTGAAGGAAATGATCTGATTTATAGACTTGAGAATATGTAAAGCATGTGAAAAGTAATGAGAGAATTTTGAAAAGATGAAGATGATTCTTACCATGTTCTAAGAGTTTCAAGTCTCATTATAGATACTAGTTTTTAACTTTTATTATTGTTATGTGTGTGATATGTGTGTGTATGCCTGTGTGTATGTGTGCATGTTCCACAGCATGCACGTGGAGGTCAGAGGGCAACTTTTGGGAGTTCACCTTTCAGTGTGGGCTCAGAAGCTCAAATTCAGGCAGTCAGGCTTGAACAGCAAGCATCTTTACACACTGAGGGATCTTGCAAGCCTGAGTGCTTAAAACGCCATTGTCTTTGTTCTGGTGGAAGCTCCACCTCAATCCCTGGCACCCTGGCATCCATTCACCCAAAGAATCTGGAATGTTCTGGTGGAAGTCCCGCCTATCTGCCCAGACCCTACACCCCAGAAAGTCCTGCCAATGGCTCCTCCTCCAGAGGTGCTCAAGACCACTCCCCCAGAGTATTTAAACTGCACCCTAGAAAACAGACATGTGGTTTTTTCGGTCTCTCTTTCCTATGTCCTCTCAGAGTTGCAGGAGAATCACCTAGGAATGCTTTACCCATTAAACTGGGGCTTTTTCTGATTCGCTCTGATTCAGTCTGATTTTGATTGCTGTGTTGGCGGAGAGGCTTATCGGGGTGCAGAAAACTTGTCAGTCTTCAAGAGCAAAGGTGACGCCATAAAAGGCTTGTGCTTAGGTCAGCCAGACACAGAGAACGGTCTGTAGAGTTCCATCCAGATGACAGCAGTGTTCGATACACTTGGCCTGGGACTATGAGAGGCCCACAGATGACTAATACATAGACAATTCACCATCACTGAACTGTGTAGCCAAGGAGACAGGTGCACACAACTAAACAGTCTACAAGCTAGCAGAAAGCAGATGGAAATGCTCTGAGATTAGTGAGGTGGGAGCCGGTGCTGATTCGGCCAAGTCCCTTGTACTTCTTGAACAGTCCGTTCTCACTGCGGGAAGGCAGGAGCCTTCAGGACAAGGTGGCATTTGATTTGGTTGTGAAGGATGAAGAGACTTCAACAGGAAGAGATATTGGGGGTGAGGATGTAGGCAGTGAAAGAGAAGTAAAAAGGAATGTAATCTGATTTAACAGATAGCTGGAAGACACAGTGTATTTTGTTTTTGTGTTTGTTTGTTTGATTGTTGTTGTTGTTGTTTTCCAAGACAGGGTTTCTCTGTGTAGTTTTGTGTCTTTCCTGGAACTCACTTTGTATACCAGGCTGGCTTGGAACTCACAGAGATCTGCCTGCCTCTGCCTCCCGAGTGCTGGGATTAAAGGCGTGTGCCACCACCGCACGGCAACACAGTGTTTTAAATTTCCATTGAGATTAACCAACAGCTCAGACTTTGGTCCATCAGTCCCATTCCCTCATCCCCCCACCCCTTTGAGACAGTCTCATGTATTCCAGGCCTTGAACTCAATTTGTAGTTGAGAATGACTTTGAACTTGTAATCCTCCTGCCTGCATTTTCTAAGTGCTGGGAAAAAGGGGTGCCTAAGGAGAGCCAGCCTTAGAAGGGAGAGAGGCAGAGAACTCATTTCTCGATGCAGTTAGAGCTGGCGGGATATCAGTCTGTAGCCTGGGAGATGTGTGAGCAGGAGGTGTGGGTCGGAGAGCTATTTGGGAAGAGGTAGTGGATGAAGATGTGAAGGTTGTCAGGGAGAGTTAACACAGGGAAATGAGTGGAGGGTTGTGTGTATGAACTCAAAAAACAAAAGCAGAAAACTACCTTTACATGGAGGGGCACTTGGCCCGATGGACAAAGGAAACGATTCAGTTCTTAAATTAAAGAAATGGTCGTGTTCAATATTGTTGTGCTTAGAATATTTAGGATGTGACAGGTGACAACTTGCAAGTTGTCAAAGAGAGAGGAAGAAACAGTTGGGTTACTGGGTGGAACGTAACAGAAGGGTGGTCAGGAAACAAGTTGGGGAGTGGGCGACATCTTCCTTCCTCAGCCGTGGACTGGCAGAAATGAGGACGCAAGCATCCTTTGTGGGAGGGTTAATGGCTTGATTAGGCAGAAAGTTAGGTTTCCGTGAGTCCAGGGCGCCCAGGGGAAGGAGGCGTGTTCAGGGCAGAGACCCAAAGTGTAGCAATTCATGGCCAACAGAATGAAGGTTCTCAGCAACAGTGGGAACACTCCACCAGTCTGGAAATTTTCACTACGGCAAACTGACCTGACCTGACAGCTTACCTCATGGGTACATTAGAGGGCGATTCCAATCAGATTGGTTGTGCTTCCTCGATATAATTACTAACTAGTCTCTGTCAGCCCATTGTTTTAGCTGCTTCTTGTTGGTACCCCCTGAACTCACTAATCTCGCTGTATAGACACTTCTTTTGTATGCTCATTGTAAACAATAACATCCCCCAAATCACTCGTGTTCACTCTTTGTTTTCATATGTTACAAGTTAAATGCACAGCGGTTAAAATAGAAAAGGCATAGGAGAGGCCCTGGTAACTGACAACTTGATCCCAGCCTTAGCCACCATTTCTAGCTACAGCTTTGGGAGACTGACTTCATTCTCCGAGTTGCCACTTTCTCTCCGGCCAAACTACGTCACTGGATGTTTCAGCCCATTCTCATCTTTCTCTTTTCCCGGGCTTCTCAACAGCCCTTCCTGTCTTGTTTTCTGTATAACTTGCCACGTGTCCTTTACTACTTTCACTTTGTTTCATTAAAAAACAAAACCACAAAAAAACTTCCTGAACGCTTGCTACATGTCAGCTACCTAAGAAACACGATGTTTGAAACCCAGTTTCCACTCACCAGTCGCGAGCCTGCCTTGAAAGGCGGTGATGGGCAAATTGGCCCCTCTGTCCTTGTCAGCTTTGGAAAGCAACTGTGGCCGTAGGCAGACCTCCCAGAAGCTGTGACCCTTGAATTCAGCTTCAGAGAAGAAATCTGAGTCAATTGTAGGCACGATGGGTTGATTTAGACAGAGGGGACAGGCACGGCATAAGAAGTCACCAACTTCAAGGGCACAGTGCATCCTAAGTGTCCAAGCAGTTGCCAGTGGCTGAACACAGAGCAGAGAGAGAGATTAGAGGGGGCAAGTTAAAAGCCTGGCCTGTGCATCCAGTATAGGGTTCAGTGGCCAGATGCTACGGCTTTACAGGGTTCAAATCTTCTGTTATCTGTGAGTGAGCGGCTGTTCTTGGGCAAGGAACATCACTCTTCATGTTTTAGTTTCCCCGCGGTAAAATGGAGCTGAATACGGTATGACATATTTCCCTCACATAGAAGCATTCAAAGCAATGTCCAGGACATGGTAACGGCTATGAAGGATTCAAGAAGGTAGTGAAGGGTGAATCCTTCAGATTGGCATCTTAGACAGAGGAGTATAAAGACAGAGGAGAGCCATGAAAACCAGAGTAAAGGATGACAGAGAGGGAATAGTCTTTCAGTAGAGTACTGAGATGCCCATGTGAAAGGCTGGAGGAGCCACTGAACGTCATGAAGGCCCGTCAGATGAACATAGGGGGAGCTCATTAATACTCAGGGTTCTCCTTCAAAACATGGCTTTCCAGTTGTACCCTAACTACACACATTTGTGCAAACGGGTGGGGGGAAGGGAGAGGGAGAAGGCCGGGGGTGAAGGGGAGAGAATAATGAGTTAAGTCATAGGCTTTGGGGACAGGGACAGGCGGGCCTAGCTGTAAAATCCTCACCTCTATTGATTTAATCATGGCATCTCATCTATGTTATTTGACCAGGTTTGAATTTTGATATTTTTCTCCCCTCAAAAAGAAGTTGACAGACTTGGCCTGGCAGAGCTGTGAGAACTGAAAGGAGATCATGTCCTGTGTGGTGCCTGCCTCTCCCATCATAGGTACTCAGGAAAATGGGGAAACGGGCGTGGTTTGGGGCCCAAGAGTGCTGGATTCCATAGGGCACACCTAAGGACAAAAATATCTCCCCAAGCCCGACAAAACCATCGTAAAATGTGTCCGTCCAGCACTCGCAGGAGCTACACGAAGAACATGGAGGTTTACCAGATGTTCTTATCGAAGAACATGGAGGCTTACCAGATGTTCTTATCTTCACTGCCCCATTTCTGGGAACCTGGGACTCTTCCCTTGTTTGAACTCCGGGGCGTATGAGAATTCGCTGATGAGATGAGATGAAGCCCTGTGGAGGTGGGACAAAGATTGATACCCTGAAGAGAGGGACCGAGCTGGAAGACTAAGGGCTGGATAGGCAGGCCTGTGTCTTTCTGCAGGGGAGATTCCAGGAAACCGATTATCATCCTGGGCAGTTGCTCCCTCCCCTGCTGAGGCCTATCTGAGGAGTGGGGTCTTGGTTGACATTCCAAATCTCCCTCTGAAAAGTTCAAGGGATGCTCCCTGCCTAGCTGCGGAAACAAGGAAAGCAAACACCAGGCTTCAGCTGAATGGACTGCCTGCTGCTGCCGAGAAAGGTTCCAGTGGGAGACTGAGCCCTCCCAAGCGAAGAAGAAACTCACTTCAAAAGCCACCGGTCCTGGTCTTACAACAAGCCAGTGTTTGTTAAATTGAGCTTGAGGTGACACACACCCCAAACCCATTTCCAGTTTGCGCTCAGGGGCAAGTCCTTGACCACACAAAGGGTGAGGCGCTTGGGGAATTTGTGGACTGTCCAGTTGATCAGATAAACCCAGAGAGAATCAGAAAGGAGGCTTTCAAGGTTTTACTACAAACAGCTGAAGCGCCCGCAGCTAATCTGAGCTTTCCTTTCCCTCCCCGGGTGAAGTTTGCCTTCGGTAAACACCAGCGACTTCCCTCTCTGAAGCACAAAGACACTCTTCATCTGAATTCTAGAGAAAAAAAGATCCGGCGCTAGCTTGAAAGAAGTGGATTTCAACCCGGGATGGACTGATCTGTTTCCCGTTTCTTCTGCATCTCAATAATACACACGGATGTAGCCAAACCCAAACTGACCAACAAAACTTAGTTATACAGTAGATTCAAACTGAGGCCCAGCTGAGACAAGACTTGCTAGACCTCCGGGAGGCACTCTGTCATTCCTTACATGTCATCACATTTAATTATATTAATCTTGGCCACAAGTAGTGGGGGGGGGGGCGCGTATTATGACTCTTTGTCTAGCAACGGGGTTCAAGGTCTCTTAGCTAATATGCAACTCTAAATGTTACCAGTTTCTAAGCCAAGGATATGTCCTTTTCTCAGACCAATGACCTCCACCGACTTTCTAAAACGTTAGTTCTCTGCCTTTTGTTCTGTGGCTAACTCAGGCCCCCACCCCATCTCCACCCCTGCACCCTAAACTATCCTGACCATACTTACATTCCCAGTCTCCCATCCCTCTGGTCCTGGATGCTTACCCCAGCTAGAAATTATATGTAGGTCTTTTAAAGAATTTTAAAAATAGTATTGCCTTTTTGCTTTTATATTTTTAATTAAAATGTTTCAAAGTTTGTGTGGAGTGGGTGTACATGTGAGTGTGTGTGAGAGAGCTTATGTGCAGGTATAAGGGGTCCAGAGGTGTCTTTATGGTTCTTTACTTTATTGCCTTGAGACACGGTCTCTCACTGAGCCTGGAGCTCCCCATTTCATCTAGGCTGGCTGGCCAGCAAATTAGTGGGCTCTACCCGTCTTTATCCCCAAAGCTGGGGTTTACAGTCATATGTGGCAATGCCTGGCTTTTCACAGGGGGATTTGAACTCAGATCCTCATGTTTACATAGCAAGTGCTCTTCCCCTCTGAGCCATCGCCTCAGGTTCATCTTACTGTTTTGTCATTGCCTTTTTGTGTGTACAAAGTATGTGTGTATATAACAGGGCAATAAAAGATTATTTTAACAGCTGATGATCCAGGCACAGCTGGGGGAGGCAGAATCAGCAAACTCACTCAGATCTGCTGTGCGTTTATTGCCGTATTCTGATCCCAACGTTGGACAAGGAAACAGTGAGAAAGGGCAGTAACTTGCTTCATGGTAGCAAAGGGTGACAACTCCTAGCTGGATGTGGTGACCCATGCCTGTATTCCCACCACTCAGGAAGCTGATTCCCAACCCAAGATGGAAGCTAACTTGGGCTCTGTAACCAATTCCAGGATAGGCCTGGGTTATGTGGTGAGTTCTTGTTTGGAAAAACAAAAACAAAAACCAAAAAACTCATGTATGGGTCTAGAGCGAAGGCTCGGCATTAAATGTGCTTGCTGTGAAATCATGAAGACTGAGGTTCAAATCCCAGAACTCGTGTAAACTAGCTCTGAGGGGAGGCTGAGACAGAAAGGTTGCTGGGGCTTTTTTGGCTTCCGGCCTGGACAGGAAACCTTGAGCATCAGGTTCAGGGCGAGATGCTGCCTCAGAGAAATCGGCAGAGAGTGATAAAGAAGGATGCTCCAAGCCCTCCTCTAGTTTCCCAGTGTGCATGTGCACAGGTGTGTGAATTTGCACAGGCGAATGAGTTTCCTGTGTGTCCACTTCTCCTTTTACATACTTTTACAAACACAGACGTACTCACAATTTTCAAATTACATCTATTTGTTTGATTGTTTCTTTGTGTATGTGCCTGGGGGCACATGCCACACAGCAAATGCGGAGACCACAGGACAGACAGCTCGTTAGGAGTGGACTCTCTCCTTCCACCACGTGGGTATTGGGAATTGAACTTGTGTAGTTTACAGCCTTGGTGGCAAGCATCTTCATTCCAGTCCCAATTTAATGGTTTTGAAGTCATTGTCCACTGAGGCACAAAACCAAAGGGCTGAACACAATCGGATTTCCTGCCAGCTCCTCTTCCAGACCCTGACCCTAACGCTTTGGTCTGCTTTGCATTTGGAATATTTTATTTTATCTCAATCGCTGGAGATCAGTCCCAGGGATGTGTGTGGTTTGTGCAAAGGGAAGCAGGTCTACATAACCAGGAATGTGAAAATAACTAGTTGGCTGTTCCAAAGTAGAAATGCCATCATATCCTGCCCTGCCCTTGTGTGAAAATGCCTCAATATTAAGATATGTTAATATGTACATATTAATATATGTATTTCGGTCAACTTTTTCTCCCTACATTTGGTTTCTTTGAAAACCTGCTGCTGTGTGTTACATTGTGTTCTGAGACCAGCTTCTTTTTTTCCTTTTAATTGAAAATAGATTTTTTTCCCTCACATAATACATCCTGATTACAGTTTCCCCTCTCTCTACCCCTCCCAGTTCCTCCCCACATCCCCTCCCATCCAGATCCACCACAATAAGACAGAACAAAAACTAACACATAGGACTAGGACAAAACAAAAAAGCGGAAGGAAAAGAACCCAAGAGAAGGCACAAGAAACAGAGACCCACTTGTCCCCACACTCAGGAATCCCGTAAAAACACTAAACTGGAATCCATAAAATACATGCAAAGGACCTGCAGGGTAAAAAGAGAGAAGGAAAAAAAAATACACAAACAAAATAAAAGTAATAAGATAAAATTTAAAAAACAGAACGAAGCGGGAAATCCCCGACACAGCATTGTAAGACAAATGATGACAACCATGCCATCAAGGTCATTTTCCGTTGGCATCTGGTTCTGGGCACGCGGCCGACCCTCAAGAGTAGTTTATTTCCCCTGTGAGACTCCCTTGGAGGAACTAAGTTCTCATTTGAAAGTCGTTATCAACTGGAAATTGCTTCTGGGTTGGGGATGGGGGCACGTGTCCACTTCTCCTTTCAGCTCTAGGGTCCCATCTGTGCAGATCCATGCAGGCCCTGTGCATGGTGCCTCAGTCTCTGTGAGTTCATGTGAGCATCCATCCTGTTGATCTGGAGGACCTTGGTTTCTTGTTTCCCTCCATCCCCTCTGGTCCCCTATACTCTTCCTGCCTGTTTTCCAGCATTCCCTGAGCCCCAAGGAAGGGATTTGATGGAGAGACCCCATTTAGAGCTGAGTGTTCCAAGGTCTTTCATTCTCCACATGATAACTGGGTCTCTCTATTGGTTTCCATCTTCTGCAGGAGAAAGTTTCTCTGATGATGACTGAGAATGGCCTATGAGTAAGTATAGCAGAATGTCATTAGGAGTCATTTTATAGCTACTTTTTGTTTGTTTATTTAAAAACAATGGTATTTGGTTTTACCCTATGTCTCTGGGCTGTCTATTCTCAGGTTCTTGGTCACCAAAGCAGTGTCAGACAGATATGGGTTCCATCTCATGAAATGGGCCTTAAGTCAAATCAGACATTGGTTGGTGACTCCCACAAGTTTTCTGCCACCATTGCCCTAGCTGACTTCGTAGGCAGAATACCACTGCAGATCAAAGGGTTTGTGGCTGGGTTGGAGTTTTCCTTTCTCCTTTGGCAGTGTGCAGAGTCCCTTCCTGTACCAAGGAAGTCAGTGTGAAGGGGTGAAGGCTCCATGCAGGCACCAGCTCAACCTCTCCATGTTCAATGAGTTGTATAGGTGTTGTCTGCAGCAATTTTTAGGGTCACTTATAAGTACTACATATCATCTACGAATAAAGATACTTCGACTTCTTTGTTTCCAATTTGTGTACTCTTGATCTCTTTCAGTTGCCTTATTGCTCTAGTTAAGACTTCAAGTACTATATTGAGCAGGTATGAAGAAAGTGGACAGCCTTGCTTTCTTCCTGATTTTAGCTTTGAATTTCTCTCCATTCAAGTTGATAATGGTCATCGTCTTGCTATAAACTGCCTTTATTATGTTGAGGTATGTCCTTTGTATTCCTAATCACTCCAGCGCTTTTATCATGAAGGGGTGTTGGATTTTGTCAAAGGCCTTTTCTGCATCTAATGAAATGATCATGTGGTTTTTATATTTCAGATTGTTTATATGGTGGGTTACATTTATCCATTTATATATATTGGATCATCTCTGAATCTCTGGGATGAAGCCTACTTAATCATGGTGAATGATCTTTTTGGTGTGTTCTTGGATTCCATTTGAAAGTACTTTATTGAGATTTTTTTTGTATCTATATTCACAAGGGAAATTGGTGTATAATTTTTCTTTTTTGAGTCTTTATGTGGTTCGGGTGTCAGGGTAACTGTGGCCTCATTAAACAAGTTGAGCAATGTTCCTTCTGTTTCTATTTTGTGGAATAATTTGAGAAGTATTGGCATTAACTCTCCTTTGAATGTCTGGTAGAATTCTGTACTAAAACCATCTCGAACTGGGCTTTTTTTTTTTT